ACTATAAATCCAATTGGGTTTCTTTTGTTCCCACTTCAGGTATGTCTCTATCAGTGAGTTGAAAATGAAACTGAAGAACGGGGTAGGAGGAGGCTTGTGAATAAGAGGAGACCTCACAGAAAAGTTTGAAAACCAATCTCGTGGATAGGGTCAATTTGTGAGGAGAATGAATGGTCCAACAGAGGTTGAAATAAAGTCTGGTGGAAATCTCCTGTGCAAGGCAGAGGAGGTGATGAGAGGTCACAGACCATCCTATGGCAGGTGTGCCTGGAACAGGCAGGAGCTCAGGACAGAACTGGGAGGGCGTGGAGGGCAGGACACCGGGAAGCCAAAGTGCAAAGGGTGGTAGTTACGGAGCCCCAGGACTACGCCCACGCCCATCCTGTTGGGATCTGGCCATGTTTCTCCGGCCTTGTAAGATTTACACTGGTCGTGTACTGATTTCAGCAACCCCTGAGGCTAGAATACAAAGAGAGGGCAATACCATGACTACATTAGGATGACTTCGCCTCACAGCCACGATATAGCCAGGCTTCCGTGGAGTTATGTAAGTCACGATAGATGTATGTGTATTACAGGGATGGTTACTCATACGCCAGGGATGTTCTTACGCGTGCTATGGTAGAGCTTTAGCACGGTTAAGGAGGATATTGTTGCATAGGGCCGCGGATGAAAGTAAAGTGTGATAGACACATACAACAGTGCCGCGGCACCGTGTGGCCCGCGGCTGCGAGACGTCGTCAGTGGGCCTGGGGATTGAGTTGAATGTGCGGCTGCGGGGACGGCTGCGTGGTTGCTGGCGGACGTGGTTGTGTAACACGGGACGGATTGGTCGCCGCGTGGTCCCGGGACGGGCTGTGTGTCCGGACGCCGCCTCAGCCAGGACGTGGTTGTGTGCAACTGGGGACACGAAGGTCGTGCCGTGACGGCTGCGCTGCGAGTCGGTTGTAATCAGTATGCGTTGCCTGTGTATCTGTGGATATGGTCGTCAGGGGCTGTGGGGACGTGGCTATTTCGGGAAGCCCAATGCTGGTGGTCTTGGGACGGGTTGTGGTCTGGGGACGGCCAGTTTTTCCGTGTGTCTTGGGATTGCCAGTGGGGTCCTCGGTGACGGCGGTCGTGTCCGGACGTGTATGCCTGTGGTCCGGGGACGGGCTGTGGCCGCGGGACGCATGGTGGCTGGGGACGCTGTGCCGCGATGGTTGGCCATGCGGCCCGGGGACACGGGCTGTCAAACTGGGAGCAGCTGTGCATGGCGTGGGGACGTGGTTGTGTGTCATGGGGACGTGGTTGTGTGTCATGGGGACATGGTTGCGTGTGTGTCTTGGGGATGTGGTTGCCTGTGTGTCTTGGGGAGTTAGTTGGGTGCACATGGTCATGGGGACATTCTCAGACAAGCAAAGGGCTACTCAGTGCTCCTCCCTTGCGGTTCTGCCTGAGATGCTCCTGGAAAATGTGCTCCCGTAGAACTAGGAGTGAACTTCGGGGAGCACAGGGGACAAGAGGGAAGGGAGTCCTGGGTGAGCAGGGCTTCAGTGCAGCCATCCAGATGGAGGCAGGCAGAGGCTGGGGAATGGCTGTCTCCACGAAGCATGTGAACCGCACAGCCAGGTGTGCAGTGCTGCAGAGGGGGCCATTCACCAGGGGAACGGAGGATGCTTGGCTGTGGGCCGTGGAGCCACAGTTCATTTCCCCCTCGTTCTTTCAATCTGGTCCTTCTTGATCTGTTTTCAGATTCACCGACTCATCTGCCATCTGTCGGCTGTCAAGCACAGTCAGTGAGTCAAACACATTTCAGTGATTACACTTTTTATTGCAGAGTTTCCATTTAGTTCTTTTATGTAGTTTCACATAATCTTCATTTCCCTCTCTCCTTTTACTCATTAAAACCATATTTTTAAAATTTTATTCATGGTTTTTTGGGGTTTTCTTGAGACAGGGTCTCACTCTGTCACCCAGGTTGGAAGGCAGTGGTGTGATCTCGGCTCTCTGCAGCCTTGATCTCTGCGGCTCAAGCAACTCTTCTGCCTCACCTCCCTGAGTAGCTGGAACCACAGGCATGAGCCACCACACCCAGCTACTTTTTAGTTTTTTTGTACAGAGTTTCACCATGTTGCCTAGGATGGTCTTGAACTCCTGGGCTCAAGCGATCCTCCCGCCCCAGCCTCCCAAATTGTGCCTGGCCTCCTTGAACTTTTTGAACATGTTTTCTGTTCATTCCATGAACACAGTTGCAATCATTGTGTAAAAGTCTTTGCCAACACCAATAACGTTGAGGCCTTCCTCGAAGCTGCTTTCTGTTCTCTGTTTTTTGTGTTTCTCTGCTTGTTTATGGGTCAGATTTTCTTGTTTCTTTTTAGGTCTTGTGATTTTTATTATGCACTGAGTTTTGTGAATTATCCATTGTGGAAACTCTGGATTGAGGTATCATCCTCTGAAGAGCATTGTTTTTTGCTCCTGTGGGCTGTTCAACTTCTGGCTGAGTCCCTTGAACTTGGGGTTGTGTCTTGACATTTTGTCTTGGGCTCTTCAGAGAGCCCAGGGCCTTTCTCAACCCTCCTAAGTTGGGTCTGGGTGGGACTCAACCCCCACCCAGAGGCTGTCCTTCTCCGGCTTTCACAGGCTTGGTCTGGATCTGTCCTCCAGCTTTCGCGGGTTTGGTCTGGATCTGGTGGGAGGCTGTGGAGCAGGCCTTCCTCTCAGCGTGGTCTTCGACTGTAGCTGTTCTGGTCCTGGTTGTGTTTTGATGTGGTCCTTCCTCTGGGCTGGGCTGGACTGCAGTGCGTCAGGTGCTGTGTGGCCTCTGGTATCTCCACTGTATTCTCAGCCTTGGGGCCGTGGGTCCTGGGAGGCTTGGTGGTTCTCCTGCCACCACACTCGCTGTCCCAGCAGCCCCTCCTGCCCGTGTGTGGCCCCCAGCAGCCCCCTCGGCGTGGTGGGACTCTGTGCCCAGCCTGGGCTCCAGCGTGGGGAGCAGCTGTCCTGGGGCCGCCTTGGGCACGGCTCTGCTGTCGGGAAACGCAGCCTCACACTGCCTGTTGTCCGTAAACTGGTTTCCTAAGATACATCATCTGGGTTTACGTCGTTTGCAGTGGGAGGGCAGCGGTCCCTCCCCCACGGCAGAGCAGAGTCTGGAGCAGCCCTCGTGAGAAAGGAAAAGCCATCGTAACCCTCCACGTGACACGGCTGGGAATGCTGTTGATGTGGCTACGATCGGCCTCTGTCAGTCCTGAGTCCACAGACAATGTCCACGTAACTTTGTTTAGGAGGTTGTGTTGCTGTGTGTTTAGGGGTGTGTGTTGGCCCGCAGGTAAGACAGATTCTCACCCTGCCTGGGCAGAGCTGGTCAGTAATGTGTAAAACTGAAGGCCAAGACGTGACTGTGCCGCCTGTGACTGAGACACACACAGGTCGGTCTCCCCGGGAATATCTGTCTCCCGAGAATGGCTGCTGTGAGGGCTGCCTGGGGGAGGGCCGTGCAGCTCTCTCCTGCACGCCTGTGTTAGGATTCGGAGTTCTCGTGCTGAGCTTTGTGTAACTGCTGGGGGTGATTCAAACTAAAGCTATACACTCGAAGAAAGCCTTTTTTTTTTTTTTTTTTTTTTTTTTTTTTGAGACAGAGTCTCGCTCTGTCGCCCAGGCTGGAGTGCAGTGGCCAGATCTCAGCTCACTGCAAGCTCAGCCTCCTGGGTTTATGCCATTCTCCTGCCTCAGCCTCCCGAGTAGCTGAGACTACAGGCGCCCGCCACCACACCTGGCTAGTTTTTTGTATTTTTTTTTTTTTTTAGTAGAGATGGGGTTTCACCGGGTTAGCCAGGATGGTCTCTATCTCCTGACTTCGTGATCCGCCCGTCTAAGCCTCCCAAAGTGCTGGGATTACAGGCTTGAGCCACCACGCCCGAAGAAAGCCTTTTTATTCAGTTAGCTGGGCATGGTGGCAGGCACCTGTAGTCCCAGCTACTCGGGAGGCTGAGGCAGGAGAATGGCTTGAACCCCGGAGGCGGAGCTTGCAGTGAGCCGAGATCACGTCACTGCACTCCAGCCTGGGCGACAGAGCGAGACTTAAGCCACTGCGCCCAAAGAAAGCCTTTTTATGCAGCCTTGCGTAACCAGATTGAAGGAAAAGGGTAACCCTCCTAAGTCTAGACAAGGGTTTTGCATCAAAAACACTCCCAGGGGCCGGGTGCAGTGTCTCACACCTGTAGTCCCAGCACTTCAGGAGGCTGAGGCAGGCGGATCACCTGAGGTCAGGAGTTCGAGACCAGCCTGACCGACATGGTGAAACCCTGTCTCCACTAAAAATACAAAAATTAGCCGGGCATGATGGCTCATGCCTGTAATCCAGATACTGGGGAGACTGAGGCAGGAGAATCGCTTGAACCCGGGAGGCAGAGGTTGCAGTGAACCGAGATCGCCCCACTGTACCCCAGCCTGGGCATCACAGGGAGACTCTGTCTCAAAAAGAAAAAAAAAACTCTCTGAGGGAGGCTGAGGTCTGCCTGGGATGAGAGCTGTCAGCAGCCGCCTAGATTCTAATGGAGCCATGTGCTGGGTTGGCCTTGAGGGCGTCGCTCCCAGGTCCCTGGTCCTGCAGGCGCCCTTGCCCTCTGGAGGAGAGCGCCTCTCTCCCATGTGGCTCCCTCAGGGGCAGGACACACAGCCTGAGGGGGCCATGGCAAGGGGAGTCATGCTGTCCTCAAGAACAGGCCCCTCTGCCCGCCTGTGAGGGTTTGTCTACTGTGCCCCCCCGGGGCCCTCCCATCCCCTGCCCTCCCTGCTGAAAGCTGGTGCGGTTTGGCGGGGAACTGGATGCAGGGTCCAAACTTGGCAGCCGTCACCCCAGCTGGGAGAGGAGTGTGGAGCTGCCCGCTGTGCTCAGTGACTGGGGGCCCCAGGTACCAGGTCCCTCTACCACCTCCAGGGGCTGCGGGCATGGGCTCCACGGGCTGCCTGTTGGAGGGGGCTCTTCATTCAGGGGCCCCACCTGATTGTTTCTGCAGATCCTCGTTCCTAGCTGCCTGCCAGCGTCCTCGGCCCGACCCTGAGGATGGACCCGGGAGACCCCACTGGTGACCCCGCCACTGGTGAGCGCCGCTGCACGGGTGAGTCTGAGCCTGATGGTGCCGAGTCTACCTGGGGCTGTCGGGGGAGGTGCGTGGGGGTGCACGGGGGGTGGTGGTGCCCACTCTGTACTCAGTGACGAGGGCCAGGCCGCTGGCCCCTAGCTGTGGGCCTCTCTACCGTGTCCACAGCTTGGGACCCTGTGAGTCTGGAGGCCCCACTGTGACCTTGCTGTCCTCGGCGTTCAAGACAGGCTGCCTCCTTCGGCCCCAGTGTGGGTGGCCTGGCGCCAGGCCTGTGACAGGATCCAGGGGAGGTGGCGGGGACCATGCAGCTGCTCAGGGCTGGTCGCAGAGGTGGGAGCTCTGGTCCCCTCTGTCCCTCGGGGTGCCAGGCAGAGGGTCTGAAACCCCCTTGGGTGCTCAGCGCCGCCTCCCGGGGTTCAGGGAACCCACAGTCTCTTGGGTCTTGGGTGGTTCCGTGGTGGCCTTCAGTGTCCTAGTTTTTTACACTGAGCCTTTTTTCATCCCTTGGAGTCAAGAAGAACATCTGCCCTCCCAGCAGCTTTTTCAGGTTATAAAAGAGAAATGAGAGGCGCTTTCCCCTGGGGCAGAGCCAGGGAGGCTGCATCCCTCCTCAGCTCAGCTGCCCCGGCAGGTTCAGTGCTGAAGATAAACAGCCCGAGGGGAGATGCAGCCTCCCTCCCTCCTGTTCCTACAAATCAAGACCCTGCAAGTTGAAGATTGGACCAGGGTTCGGGAGACGGAGGCTGGGAGGGAGCGGAGGCTGCCTAGTGCCTGGGGTGTCAGCCCGAGCCTCAGACTGTTCTCTGCGCCGGGGACAGGCCGGGGCGGGAAGCCTCCTGGGAGGGGCTCAGCCCCCATGGGAGCTGTCCAGGGCCCTGTCTTTGTGGGCAGGGGGTGGGAAGGGGGGCCCAGGACCCCTTCATGTCCTTCACCCTGAAGTCCTTGTAAACAGCAGTGAGCGCTGTGAGGCCCTGGCCCGGCCGCCTCGCCCTGGGCTGCGGACCCCCCGTTTGTTGTGGGTTTACTGCCTTTTAACTCACCGCCCCCTGGCCTCTGGCCAGGCCCACCTTACACACGCCCTGCCTGGCAGCCCCTCCATGAGGCAGGGCCATGGTCCTCTCCCCTGTGAAAGCCCCGCTCCCATATGGCAGCAGCTGAGGCTCTCTGCCTCAGTTTCCCTATCCCATGCAGCTGCCTCCTTGGGCCTCAAACCACTCCAGGGACTTCCTCTTCTGTGTTCCCAGTGGGTGCTGAGGGCTGTGGGGGCACCTCCAGGCATGTCCCCTTCCCTGACATATTCAGGTCACCGCGTCCTGGGGTAGGGGCCGCCTCTGAGCTGGGCGGGGGTTGGCGTGGATGCGGCCCCCTCAGCAGGCACAACCCTGGCTGTCCTGTGGGACCCTGACCACGCACCTGTCCCTCGGGATGGGCCCAGACCCCTCACCCTTCCGTTCATCCACTGCCTCCTCCAAGGCCATCTGCAGGCCCCGGGCCTGCACCTCTGTGGGATGAGGCCCTGTTACCGCCCCTGGAGACCACCGTCAGGGCCAGGGAGCGCATGGGACCCTGGCTTTGCCTCAGCACAGAGCTGACTCTCCCTGCACAGGTACCAAGGGCTTCTACAGCCTTTTCTCCACCTAAGCAGAGTGGGATGTCTTCAAAGTGCAACCCCCAGCTAGCAGGGTCCCTGGAACAGCCTCAGTGCCCCCGGAACACTCATGGCCCTCCCTGGAACAGACATGCCCCCCTCCCCAGAACAGACAAGGCGCCCCCTGGAACAGCCTTGGCACCCCCTGAAACAGCCTCGGCACTCCCTGGAGGAGACACGGTGCCCCCTGGAGCAGTCTTGCTGTTCCTTGGAACATCCTGGTGCTCCCTGGAACAGAGAGGCCCCCCCCCAGAATAGACACAGTGCCCCCTGGAACAGCCTCAGCGCCCTCTGGAGCAGACACGGCGCCCCCTGAAACAGTCTCGGTGCTCCCTGGAACAGCCTGGTGCCCCCTGGAACAGCCTGGTGCCCCCTGGAACAGCCTCGGCACCCCCTGGAACAGCCTTGGTGCCCTCTGGAGCCGACATGGTGCCCCCTGGAACAGCGTTGGTGCTCCCTGGAACAGCCTGGTGCTCCCTGGAACAGACATGGCCCCCCCTTTAGGCCTTTCAACCCTCCTAAGTTGGGTCTGTGGACTCAACCCCACCTGTGAGGCTGCCCTTTCTCCTCGCTTTCTGCAGGCTTGGTCTGATCTGTCTCCAGCCATGGCTTGGTCTGGATCTGGTGGGAGGCTTTACAGCCTCTCCAGCGTGCATCTTCACTGTAGCTGTTCTGAAGTCCTGGTTGTGTTTTTGATGTGGTTCTTCTCTGCTGGGCTGGGATCAGAAAAGGCCAGGTGCTGTGTGGCTCTGGGTATCTCCACTGCACTCAGCCTTGGGGCCGTGTCCCAGGGGAGGCTTGCCCTCCTGCCACCACACCTGGTCCCAAGCTGCCCTGGAAGTGGATGAGTAGCCTCCCCACGCGGGTGACTCTGTGCCCAGCCTGGGCTCCACGGGAGCAGCTGTCCTGGGGCCGCCTTTGGGCACGCTCTGCTGTCGGAAACGCAGCCTCACACTGCCTGTTGTCCGTAAACTGCTTCAAGATACATCATCTGGCTTACGCTGCTTGGTGGAGGGCAGCGGTCCTCCCACGGCAGAGTGCAGAGTCTGGAGCAGCCTCGTGGGAGAGTGAAAGCCATCGTAACCCTCCACGTGACACGGCTGGAATGCTGTTGATGTGGCTACGACGCCTCTGTCAGTCCTGAGTCCAGACAATGTCCACGTGAATTTGTTTAGGAGGTTGTGTTGCTGTGTGTTTAGGGTGTGTGTTTGGCCTGCAGGTAAGATACAGGATTCTCACCTCTGCCTGCAGAGCTGGGTCAGTAATGTGTAAAACTGAAGGCTAAGACGTGACTGTGCCGCTGTGACTGAGATATTATAGTCGGTCTCCCGGAATATCTGTCTCCCGAGAATGGCTGTGAGGGCTGCCTGGGAGGGCTGCAGAGCCTTCCTGCACGCCTGTGTTAGATTCGAGTTCTCGTGCTGAGCTTTGTGTAACTGCTGGGGGTGATTCAAACTAAAGCTATACACTAAGAAAGGAGATAGAGTCTATGAAGGCTGAGGCAGGAGCTGACTTTAGCCATTGTGTTAGTTTTCTTGCTTATGCCATCCTCCTGCCTCAGCCTCCCGAGTAGCTGAGACTACAGGCGCCCGCCACCACACCTGGCTAGTTTTTTGTATTTTTTTTTTTTTTTAGTAGAGATGGGGTTTCACCGGGTTAGCCAGGATGGTCTCTATCTCCTGACTTCGTGATCCGCCCGCCCAAGCCTCCCAAAGTGCTGGGATTACAGGCTTGAGCCACCACGCCTCAGAAAGCTCTTATTCAGTTAGCTGGGCATGGTGGCAGGCACCTGTAGTCCCAGCTACTCGGGAGGCTGAGGCAGGAGAATGGCTTAACCCCGGGAGGCGGAGCTTGCAGTGAGCCGAGATCACGTCACTGCACTCCAGCCTGGGCGACAGAGCGAGACTTAAGCCACTGCGCCCAAAGAAAGCCTTTTATGCAGCCTTGCGTAGCTCAGATTAGTTGAAAAGGGTAATCTCCTAAGTCTAGACAAGTGCTTCTTGCATCAAAACACTCCGAGGGGCCGGGTGCAGTGTCTCACACCTGTAGTCCCAGCACTTCAGGAGGCTGAGGCAGGCGGATCACCTGAGGTCAGGAGTTCGAGACCAGCCTGACCGACATGGTGAAACCCTGTCTCCACTAAAAATACAAAAATTAGCCGGGCATGATGGCTCATGCCTGTAATCCAGATACTGGGGAGACTGAGGCAGGAGAATCGCTTGAACCCGGGAGGTGAGGTTGCAGTGAACCGAGATCGCCCACTGTACCCCAGCCTGGGCATCACAGGAGACCTGTCTTCAAAAAGAAAAAAATCCTCTGAGGGAGGCTGAGGTCTGCCTGGGATGAGAGCTGTCAGGGCAGCCAGATTCTAATGGAGCCATGTGCTGGCTCTGAGGGCGCGCTTCCCAGGTCCCTGGTCCTGCAGGCGCCTTGCCTCTGGAGGAGAGCGCCTCCCATGGCTCTCAGGCAGGACATACAGCCTGAGGGCCATGCAAGTGAGCCATGTCCCTCAACAGGCCCTCCGTCCGCCGTTATGTCTGTCCAATCAAAACTGATCTTTTGTTTTTGTTAAAGCGAGGAAGAGGGATTATGAATAATGAAGAGGACCCCAGCTGGGAGAGGAGGAGCGTTCACAGTTTCAGGATTAAATTTGTGTATTTCAGGGTTCTTGACACGAGCTTTTTTGCATGGCCCACGGGCCGGCCCGCGGAGGTCTTCATTCAGGGGCCCCACCTGATTGTTTCTGCAGATCCTCGTTCCTAGCTGCTGCCAGCCGCCCCTCGCCCGAACTCCTGAGGATGGATCTTGAGATCCCCACTGGTGACTCCCGCCGATTGGTGACGCCATGCACGGGTGAGTCTGAGCCTGATGGTGCCGCAGTCTACCTGGGGCTGTCGGGAGGTGCGTGGGGCACGGGGGTGGTGGTGCCCACTCTGTACTCAGTGACAGGCCAGGCCGCGGGCCTCTAGCTGTGGGCCTCTACTGTGTCCACAGCTTGGGACTTGTGAGTCTGAGGCCCCACTGTGACCTTTGCTGTCTCATGTTTCAAGACAGGCTGCCTTCTGGGCCCACAGGTGTGGAGTGGTCGGGCGCTGTGCCTGTGACAGGATCCAGGGGAGGTGGCGGGGACCATGCAGCTGCTCAGGGCTGGTCGAGGTGGGAGCTCTGGTCCTCCTGTCCCTCGGGGTGCCAGCAGACTGAAACCCCTGGGTGCTCAGTGCCGCCTCCCGGTCTTAGGAATCCATAGTCTTTGGGTCTGAGCCTCTAGGCTTAGGGAATCGAGTGAGATTGAGGTCTTTTTTCATCCTTTGGAGTCAAAGAAGAAACATCTGCCCTCCCAGCAGCTTTTTCAGGCTATAAAAAGAGA